CCACTATATATATATATATATATATATATATATATATATATATATATATATATATATATATAAGAAGCCCAAATACATGATCTCCTCTTATGAGAACATTGCTCCCTCCCAGCCAGCAGTCCCCTGGCCCCAAGGCAATTCCTAATACCATCCCCACTAATTCCTCCACAACCCAGTATCTATGCCGCCAACATAGCCCTCCACTTCTTCACAATGTGAGTTTCACAGTAACAAATCATGTGCCAATACATGTAAGAAGAATAAATAGGTGGTAACCGCCAACATTTTTTTCGGACAAAGAGTTATAATTAGCAAGAGCAAAATAACAAATATGGTCGAAAAGTTCATAACTGACAACAACAATGCTGAAATGATTGAATGTATGGATGTAGCACACATTTTGATTAAAATATCATGAGTCGTAACAAACGTGTGTAGTTAAGAGGAAAGAGTAGTTAACATTTCATACAAAATTTGTATATCAATCATTTTGGAATGTAGCTTATAAAACAGGTAATAGAAGAAAAACAACTAGAGATTGGATTTAAAAACATCAAAAGAAGTTATTGAACAAAAAAGTAATAATACTGTGCCAGGATAAATTCCATAGTGGAGCATATGAAGTTCTTCACTCCCATTGGAGAAGGCAGTGAAACAAATACATGCATAAATGTTGCTGTTCACAAGACACATTAAGTAAATTAAGGTTAGAATTGTTGCCAATATCCAACAACAGAAGACAAGAGTGGCGGCGAGGTGGAGATGTTTGCGAATGAAAGATACGAGGGTAGCAGAGGAAGGAACCATGGTCGAAAAACCATAGATTTTCCTCTTTAAACTCTATTTTAATATTATAGTCATAAACTTTGTGTTAGTTTTTGCCGAAGACCATTGAACTCCAAAAGTGGATACTATGCTAACATACTATAGTTATGTAATGAGTTGGCAATTCTATGTATACGAACCTAATAAATGCATTATTCAAATGCAAGTTCGTCAAGCTAGCTATAGTTAAAAGTTAACCGGAGATCGATAATGACCAAACACCACCAAGACAGCATCGCCCTCTACAATTAAGCTAATTACCATATCTTGCTCAGAGCTAACCTTGTACTTCTACAAAAATCGCAAGCGTTTGGAAATAATTAGCGAAGGTTAACAATGAAATAAAAGTACTCACCCTTTTCAAAGAATCAGATCTCCTCATATACGCCTCTGTACCCGACAGTTTCTGGTCTTCTTTCCTGAACCTCTGGAAGTGCAATGAACAACCGAAAATGAACTTTAGGAGTAACAACTCAAGTGTGTCAATAAAGTAAAGTAGTCATCAAGCTAACATTACAATTTTAAGTTTATAGTCATTCAGGAAAAAAGATGGGCTCAAAATCCCAAGAAACGAGCATACCTCCAAAGTCCCGAGAAGCTGACCTAACATCCTCTTATTCCTGCTGACCAAACTAGGGTCCTCGTTCTTAGGCAACACCCTTGGTACATGTTCTACTGGATTGACTTCAAAATCCTAAAATAGTCAAGCACAACAGACAACAATTCATTCAGCTCAGTAAGTAAGTCCTCGTGTCGCGACTTCAATTCAAGAAAATAAATAAAATTTACCATTTTAGATGGCCTCTGGTCAGAATTCCTCCTGGACCAATTGGACCCCATTTTCACATCCTGACCTGCACTCACATTTGCAATCTCTCCTAATTCAAGAGCTGCATCTTTCTTTTCCACATCAACTGCAGCTTCCGAACCTTCCTCTATTATTTCCCCTTCCTCAACCTTCAACCCCAAAGAATGAAAACAAAAAAAAACATTTATTATGGCATGTATACAATTACATTTGAGGTTTAGAACTATTTTGCTTGTGAGATATGGCTGGATGAAAGATATTATCATACGGATAAATTTCTCCGAATTCTAATTCTAAGGCCTTAATTCGTTGATAGCAAAACACCAAACACTGACCTTCACAACAGCTGAAGATAATCGTCTTTTCGTCGGCGGTTGGTCCTCGCCCTCGTCCCTCTCCGCCTACACATTTAATAAATTAATAAGAGAAGAAAAAAACAGCAATTCTGAACATCGAGCTTTTTGTGTACAATTGGACTGTGTGCGTGAGAAAGAAAAAAGGCAGAGAGAGGTCAAAGAAAGTTACAGGTCGAACAAAGCCGCGCTGTCGACCGCCATTGGCGGCGAAATTGCGAGGTCCGGTGGCCGTTATGCCACCGCGGCGAATTCCCCTGGGATCTCGAAGCCGCTCTGTAATCTGGCAAAACACGAAATATACGGTTTCTAATTAGAAAAAAAAAATAAAAAAATTAACGAATTCAAAGCTGTACAAATATAGAAGATGTACGTACCTCGCGCTGTTGGCGGTGGAGTTCGTCGATCTCTCTCCGGAGTTCTAACTCCGTCTTCTCCGCTGCCACTGTGCTGTCCATTGTGCGTGCGTTGTGTGTAAGTGTGCTTCGCGAAGAAAAAAACCCTTGGGTTTGAAACCCTGACCTCAGTTGTTGATGAAGCTAATTTTGATTTTGCTGAGTAATTTAATAAAAAATATAAATTAATATCCAAATTAATTAATTACTTTTTATTACAAAAAAATTAGCAGATTTAAAATTTAATAAATTGACATCCAGGACCAAACTAATTATGTGAAACCAAATTGCCCCCATCAAACAAACACCAATATGAGCCCAACTCATACTTTTAATATTTACAATTCGGATGCAACTAGGGGTGGAAATTGGAACGGAATTTCCGAATTCCGCCAATTCCGATCCGAAAATATCCAAATTTGGAACCCGTTTTTCATTCCGATTTCCGATCCGATTTTATTTCCGATATATATATATATATATATATATGCCTCTCTCT